AGCCTGAGGCTCCCAAGCCTGTCCCGCATAGTCTCTGCAGCTGATTCCTCCCTTCTTGCTCTTTCTGGCTTGCAGACTCTTCAGCTGCAGAGTCCAGTGACACCAGGAAGGACACAGCTCCAGCTACCACCAAGCCAGAAGGCCAGGGCTGATCCTTCTGATTGTCCCCACTCCTGGCTCAGTGTTTCTAGCTCCACCGCAGCTCACTCTGGTCTTGTTCTGGCCCTGAATTCCACATGCCCAGCTGGCCCTTTTGTCTCTCTCCACCTCCCAGTGGTTGGTGATTCTTGCCTAGCTGCTGCCACCCTCTATGTCTGTCTCTGTCTCACTGTCTTTGTAGTACCTGGATCCTAGGGAGTGTCCCCTGATGAATATTTCAGACTCAGCGCCCCACATACCTGCATGTTTCAGTCCTCCAGTCTTCCCGCAATTGTGCCATGGATGCTCTTGAGTTCTGAGGCTGGTGGTGTTTCTGCTGGACGCTGACCATCAGCTGCCCTGTTGGCTTCTTATCCTGGGGGACTTTGTATCCTTCATGTTACAGTGCAGACTCCAGAACAGAGCTGCAGACAGTGCAAGAGTGGAGCAGCTGTTGTCTCTGGATTTCACTGGTGCTTCTCTCCTTCAAGCTGCATCCTGATGGCTGGGCTCCCTACTTTACCTACCATGCAGCTGACTCTTTTTTTAGGGCCATTTTTCGTCTTGCTACATAAATGTCTTTTGACAGCTACTTTGATGTCAGTCTCTTGGTAGTAAATTTAGTTTATCTTTGTCTGAAATGTCATTATCTTGCTCTGCTTTTAAAAAGATAATTATAAATACAAGATTATTTACCTTTAACAGTTTAGAGATAACATTTCATGAACCCATTCTTTAAATGTTGAGAAGTCAGATTTTTTTTGAAATTAGATTTTAGATTTCATTTTTACTTAAATGATACATAATATTGGTACACATTAATGGGGTATGGTGACATAATTTGATACATGTATACAGTGTGTAAAGATCACATCTAAATAATGAACATTTCCATCTCGTCCAGCATTTATTGTTTTTATGTATGATAAGTTTCACACTCATAGTTATTTACAAATATTTATAAATTTTACAGACTGTACTTGGCCTAGTGTGCTGAAGAACCCTCGAACAAATTCTTGTGTTCTTAAATTTTCTGTCTTTGAAGATAATCTCTTCTTTCTGGCCACTTTTAAGATCTACTATCTCTTATATTCTGCTATTTCATATTGGTCACATCTTGTTTAAAGTATTTTGAGCTTAATCTAACAGATTTTCAAAATTCTGGGATTCCTCAGTCACCTAATCCTCTTTTTCTCTTCTGTTTTCCAAGCTTTCTCAAAGCTGTCTTGCTCTTTCTCCCATCCGTTTTAGCAGTCTTCTGTCTTCTGCAGTCCTGTCTTTCTGGCTACTTTCTTCTCACTTCCTTTGATGTCTGGCTCACTGTGAACTTTTCCAGCTGTGTTTCATCTGCTCACCTGCTTAGCTCTCTTTGATAATCTCTCATGTCAACATCCTGTTTCAAACCTTGTGTTTAGTTCTTGAAATATATTAAAGGTACTGATTTTTCATTTTATGTTTTGTATCTTTAGAAGTCTGATTCTTTGCTTGGCTGTACTATATCTCTAAGTTCAATTATTTCATTATGTATTTAGTGATTCTTTTTAATGATCCCATACTTGCTGGAACTTATTTGATAAGATAAATCCTAAATTTACAGTTCATATCTTCAGAAGTTTATGTTTGCATCTACTTAGCACTTGAGGACGATACTGACTTATAATGGATATTCAGTCAATACATTTTAAATGTATGCAGCTGCTGTATACTCAGAGCATTCACCCCAACACCCAAGTCTCCTCATGCTGTTAGGTGAATAATGAAACTGGCTTGAGTTCCATATTCATTGCATTGCTATTGTCTTCAGGAGCTATGAGATTAGTGTGGCGAGATCCCTTCGTTAGGGCCATCTGCTAACTCAGGCTGACTCACTTGAGTGGTCTCTTTTTACAAAACCTCTTTTGGAAACACTTTTATAATTCAACCCAACCACACCATGAAAATCTGGTACAGACGTCCTGCCTGTGTGTTTCCGTCACACCTGATGTTCACCCTAACCTGGTTTGTCACAGGATATTTATGTTTGAGCATTGAAGAACAAGAAACCAAGACGATGTTGCAATGTCTCACTTTGTGTCTCCTGCATTTATTTTGTTGTCCAGCTTGTACCAGGTGTCAGTTCATAGTTTTCCATGAATGAATGATGAATGAGTGACATAACTTTCTAACTATACATTTTAAGCTCCAGATATTTTTATATTTAATTTTTGAGCCTTTCTCTTTTATATCAGGTCTCACCAAACTCACCTGTTGGTGTCTCAGTCCTGAATATCTAGCTCAGAGTTGGTATTTTAAACTTACTCAAGTCAGTGTTTTCAGACTTTAGCTAAAGACAAAGCACTTCAGCAAACAAATATTTTAAGACACAAAACAATTTTATTGTTTCTGAAATGCAAAATATTATTAGCAGATGAAAAGTAGGATAACCCATGACCACTTGCACTTTACTCTAATTAGCTATTAATTACGTCTGTTATAATCTAATATATTGAAGTATTAAAGCTGTTTCATAATCACTCATTTCATTTTCACTCAACATGGAATCTTAAAAGAGCCATTAAAGTGCCACTTTAATTTCTTTGCCAATTTGTGGAGATCATGACTCGTACTAAGAAGTTCAGCCACATCAAGATGTTATGTTTATGAAAGTCAGACTCCTCTGAGATTGTTTGCCTGTTTCAATCTTCCCATCAAAGTGGACTCCCTGCTTGAGCAGGAATTCAGTGCCCCTCATTTTCTCTCTGATTATCTAAGTAGGCTTTGGAGAATGTTTTTCAGCATGAGCTGTACAGGAAGATCCGAGTCAATGTGGTGCGTAGAATGGAGAAGGGAGCTGACACCAAGATTGGGCAGGTGTGACCCTGGTATTCAAAGCCTTCCTTCCTAAACAGTGAAAAGCAAATGGTTGCATGGGTTTGCCTCTGTATCTGTGGGCACAACTGTTCTTTAGTGCAAATAGTTATTAAGCTTTACTCTGTGCCAGACAGCTTCACATTTCACAGGCACCCAGCTTCGTCCAAGCCCACACCAAGGTTACACACTATTCAGAAAGGGATGCACCTTAACAAATAAACTTAGTCTTGATTATAAGATGGACTCAAAATATCAAATATGCAAATATGGGGCAAATAAAGGACTTAGAGTAGGTAAAAGATATTAACTTAGTTCATCCTCCTAACAAGTCTTCAAGTTAAGTAATTTATTATTTCCACTTTGCAGGCAACACCACCAATGGGTTCAGCGGTGTTAGGCAACTTGCACAAGATTTCTCTACCAGGAAATAAATGAGTTAAGATTGAACTAATTCTATATACTTTACTCATAGCTTCTATACCTGAGGGGCCTGGAATTCTCTGTATTATAGCATTTCTAGGTGTATGCATCTATCTTTCATCTTTTTTATGGCTTAATTTAACATTGGATACTAGAACCCTATTAATTCTGGACAGCATTTGAGACTATAGTTGTGATGAAAAGCAATTTATAAAATAAACTGTTTTGAAAATTATTAACCTGAACGTTGGTTTAATCAGTTGTGCCCAGATCAGTGATGACATGATTGATATTTTTTAAATCTATGAATCTGTAACTAACCATATTACATACAAATGTAAATGTAATAGGTCTAACAAAATGATGGAAATAAATTTAATTAAGGTTTACTAAAAATATAGACATCTGTTTCCTCTTCTCTTAGAAAGGAAATTAAAAGTTAGTGGAAAGTATCAGTCAAAGTATCATTAAAATTCTCCTTTGGAGATTTTATAAAAAGAAAAAACAACATTTCTGTATTATAGGATGTTCAAAATTGATTCTAACAGTATATCAAATGTTGCAAATACTCTTTGTACAGAGCCAAAATGACTAACTCAAAGTAAAGAAAGCCATGTTTCATTTTATGTAACAAGTAGCACAGTCTATTTTTAAAAACCTAATGAGTTAAGAAATAACCATGTGTTACATTGTTTTTCCCTGTAAATAATGAATTACATGTGAGAACAAGTGGTAGTTAAATATACCCGGGGCCAACTGCATCGTCGCAGATATCAGACTTCATCTGTGGAAATTCAGCAAAACAGAATTAGAAATGTCAAACAGAAAAGATCTCATTAAGATAATTCTTCCAGAAATGAATCAAAACTTCTACCCCAGCTGTTCAAATCTTGTGCGTGTTGAGTTGAGCAAAGCTAAAAAATTAAATTTACTGTTTTTCCAAGTATGGTACTACAAACACCTACATCGGAATATACAGATTACTTGTGCGTGTGCTCAAACTACAGACATCTTTCACCCTTTTCCAAGAACTGCTATGTGGGGAGCTGTGAGCACAGCCCAAGAATCTGTGTTTTATAAAAATATCCGTCTAGCAGTGGTTGTTGGATTTGAGAATCACTGGTTTAGCACTTGGCTCTTCCCAAAGTACTACTTTGGACAAATGGAAATAATGAGCCAAATACTAGTAATTTTTTCAGCAAATATCAGACATTAAATGCCTCATTTATTAGATGTTTATGAAGCAGTGCAGGGGAACCCAAAAGAAATGTATCCTGATATATTTCAGTACTTGAATAGCATGTAAGTGGTTGTTTAACATGACGAAATGATTCTGAGGTCTATCCAGAGTGCAGAGAAAGAAATCAGGATCGAGATCACCCTGGTGGATGCAGAGGCAACTTTGGAAGTTATGTCTAGGGATGAATGAAAAAAATCACTCTGAAAATAACAAATTGGATAAGGAGTCCTTTATAGGTGGCTCTTTTACATTTATAAAAATCGTAGCTTGAATAATGTGACTGAATTTTAATTTGCTTATGAATGGATCTGATCAGCTTGTGATCTAATTAATGATTATTTTCCGTTAACAGCAATTGTTCAACTGTCAAGCTCTACGAAAACTAAGTATTCCTGACAATGACCTTTCCAGCCTGCCAACCTCCATCGCTAGTTTAGTTAATCTCAAAGAACTCGACATCAGCAAAAATGGTAAGAGTTTCATTGTATTTCTAGGTGTCTTGATTTTTTTTACTCAAAATGTGTTTTAATTTTTTTTTCCTGGGAAATATTGTAAATAACTTTTTAAAATTTTGTTCCAACTGTAAGTTAATTTTGTCAAAAACTTAAATTATGACTGAAAGACAGGAAACCCCTCACTCTTCCTTTTAGAAATAAGCCTGACTCAGCCTTATTTTCCTCTGCATTCAGATATATGATTTACCCTATCTAAAACAGCTCCTGTCTTTACAATACCTGTTCTCTTCATCCTCAAGATATTTCCAACATTCCTCAGATGTTATCTGCTTGACAAAGTCTACTGTTCACCTTACCTGGAGTTATACTCTTAATTTCTCTTAATGGGCCCCATTTCAGCCAACGCTAACCTCTTGATACTATTGTGTAGTTTATTTGTTTACTAGAATTCTTGTATATCTTCTCTTGACTCAAAATGTAAACTTCAACAGATGACAGGAAAGATTTATCCCAAACATCTCAAGCAAAAGCTGATAAATAATCAGGACTTTATAACATTGACTGAATGTTGGGGCCAAACCTGCCCACCTGGCATTTTTGTGGATACTGATGGTATGGGGAGTCATGTCTGAGGTATTTCTGTTGGGTGTTTGCAGTAGGGAAGCTGGATCTTTAAAGAGTTGTTTGCATCCAACTTATCTGTTTAGGTCTTTGTCACTTTCTACATGACCTCAGCTGTGCATTTTATTCGAATAAAGCAAAGATCAGTCAAAAGGGTTATGTGAGGTCTATGAGAGAAACACTCGTGTGTGTGTGTGTGTGTGTGTGTGTGTGTGTGTGTGTGTGTGTGTTTAGGGTTCTGTTTATGTGTCAGTATGCTCTGTGCCAACGGGACCACATGACCAAAACTCTTGTATTCTGATAAGTCATTCAGACACTGACAAATAGTTACAGGCTGTGTAATAGCTGTGTTTAGGGATACATTTGGGATGAAAAGTGTGTATATGAGAAAGATGCAACATATTCTATATAGTTAGGGAAGAGTCCCCCAAAAAGTGATGACCATGCTCAGATACTCAATCAATGGGAATGAGAAGTTAGGTAAAATTGGCTTGATATTGTAAGTAAATAAAGTTCTGTTTTTTTTAAAGGATCACCAGAAAAATTGCTTCATCAGGAGTAAAGGCAGTGTACCTAAGCAATGCCATGTTGAGTGTCATAACAATTTCCCTGTGGCCTTGTGTTTTCATTCTGTCCCCACAGACGTCTGCCCTGGTCATTCCCTTACTGCCTTCCAGACTTACCCAGATTACCCCACAAGGCTTCCTGTTTGAGGGTAGTGTGCTGCTGTTATCCACTGAAAGGGCATCACACCCTTGTTTTTATTTTCATGTGAGAAACTACACACCACATATTTAAGTTATTTCTGTGTTAATCTGCACTTGCTTTACTAGAATTAAAATTCAGTGATGTTCCAAAGTTTTTGCTATTGGTGCCTTCCTTACTACTCTATTTACATTGCCTCAAAGAATGCACAAACACTTTGGAGCAAATCAGTGGATGTTAACCCAATGAGTGGTTGCAAGTTTCAGAAGGTTTTGAGTGTCTCTGAGAGATAAGTCTGAAACCCGCATAAAATCAGTGATATCATAAAATGCTACCCAACGAAGTGCTTAATTACATGGCACAAATTATGGTTATAAGTACTTTAGAGAATAGCAAGACTAATTAAGACTGTTGTAGTATTAGAAGAGTTCAAGGAGATGGTATTATCTGCAGATTTCCTTGTAACATAATAGCATCTGAATACAGGAGAGCATTTTGTTTATAGAGGATAATAAGATTGTAAACAAGGAACAGAAGCAACTGTCTAGAACAATTTACCATTCTGCTTATTTCGTACAAGAATCCTAGAAGGACCACATGCAGATATTGACCAAGAGTCGCAACTAGACTTAAATCTACTGGACGATGACCTCAGGTCTACCACTGTTATTTAAGAACTGATTTGCAGGGTACACTTTTCTGTGGATTTGTACACACATACAATTATTGCTCCTTATATATTTGTCAAATTCTACTTTGAAATTTCAGTTTCTAAGAAATAACATGAGCAAACACCACATCCTTTACCTTAAGATAGTTTTAGCTAAAAAGTCCAGGAAAATAAAAACTGTCCTCATTACAATGTTTCACTAAATGTAAACATCTAGCTGCTAAGGGTTATGATCTTTTGGGGATCATGTCATAGTTCCTGGCAGCCCCATTATGTCGAGAAATCTTTGCTTCCAGGATATGAAACACGTTACACTGCATCTCAGAAGTAAATCTGTGAAATTATTGTTTAGTGGTTTTTAGCTTTTCTTATGATTTTGCATATTCTGTAAATATTGATGCAAAAAGGAGACACAAGAGATGGTGAAACAACACAACATTAGTGCAGCATTACAGGTTTGGTGCTTATGTTGATGTATCGGGCAATGCTAGACATTGCCCACCTACCAAAAGATCTCATCGCATTGGCCCATTCAGCAAAATCAGACCTAAAACGGCTGTCACAGAATTCTGTGATGAGACTTGGGCAATGACTTCACAAACATGGTACATCTTTGGGAGAATCTGTCAAGTGAAAAAAGAGTGGTAACAGAAAGAAAAAACAGCATTGGCAACCCCACTAACAAGGCTGGAATAGTCTTGGTTGAGAAAAGGCAAAATCAGAGAATGCAAGCAGTATCAGTGTTTAATGAGAGACTGTGGGATGTTTATCTTAGGACAGGGACTTACGCACTAGTACTAGACAACCTGCGTAAATACTAACTAAAGTGTGCTTGAATTAGCAAAATGACCCCTTAATAAACTAATTTCACGCAAAGCTGAGGTAAACCTGACCCTGGTTTTGCAGGTAGCCTCCAGTCTTGGCTCTGCAAACAGTTCTTCAACTTGTCATTCATTCACCACTTGTCTCTGTATCATTGAAAATACTGTTTTATATGAAAGTTAGGAAGGCCATCAATATAACTTCATATAAAGAGTAAGCTCCTGTCTGCACAATTTGAGGGACAGCTTCCTCCTAAAGCTTTCCCCGTTTCTCCAGTTGGCCATTGCCTCCACTGAATCATGTTTCTTTTTACTTTGTTTTGGGTTTTGAATTCATCTCACTTTTACTTTCTGAGTCTGTACTAGTCTGCGAGGCGGTGGAAATCAGATGCTATCACAGTGGTTTCTATATGCAGAGCTACTTGCACAATAATTAGGACACGTAATAGATGTGGAGTAACTGTTTGGAGGATAAATAGTATTAAATAGAAGCATTCTTTTACAAAATATAATAGTGTCTGTATAATAATATAGTAGTGATCCCACAGAAGTTAGGGTGCTCATCTATTACACTGGAAACCATCTAAATACTTGATATGAATGCTGGAAAAGATAGAAACAGCAATACAATGAGTAAAACATCTCTGATCTGCCATATAACAGTGTACTTGGTATCTTTTTTCTTCTGGATAATGAATGCTTCATGTCAAGCTTTGGCCCCTTTCTTTAGCTCCAGACTCACATAGCCAACTATTGTACATGTTAGGCACAGCTACAGTGTACCCCACAAATAACCCAAACATAACTGTTTACATCCAAACTCATCACCCACCCCAACCCACTTCCCCTCCATTTCTTGCTCTCTGTCATTATCACTATGATCTACATCGGCGTTGAGTTAAAATTCTTTTCTCTTGCAGTTCCCATATTCCATTTGATCAATAGTTCTTGCTAAATTGACCAGCTAAATATATCCCAAGTCTGTATCTTCAGACCATTTCTATGGTTATAGTCTTAATGTAGTCCCTTTACCTTTCCTCTACTACTTAAACAGCATTTTATTTGGTCTCCTTGCCTCCATTATTGTTATTACCATTGCCCAGTTCATTCTCTACAAGAAAGCGTCTATACTTTCCAAACTGCTACTATGACTGTGTGATTTTCCAAATTAAAGTACTGCAATTGGCCTGGGATACAATGTTGGCCCCTGTCTTGGTTAATTTTTACTCGTTGTTGAGGCAAAATACCTGATGCCCAAAATTAGAGAAAGAAAGGTTTATTTCTTACAGTTCTTGGAGGTTTCAGTCCACACTCAGTTGGCTCTAAGGTAGGATGGCATGGTGGGGTAGCCATTCATAGCCACTGCAAATAGCAAGGCGTGAACCAGAAAGAGAGAGACACCTTCTTCCCGCCATTACATCATATCCTCCCTTAGGTGGGTACAGCACACACACCATCAATCCAAGTGCTAGACAACAACCAATCACAAATGCTAGATTTGGTCAAGTCCATAATTCATGAGGCTTGGGGGCCACTGCCATAAAACATGACAGCCCCAACACTTCTACTCCAGCACCAATCCCAATAAGAATGATTGATCATTTTAGGGTTTAGGGTTGTGATACTGAAAAGCTTCCTTGAATATGTAATACTGTTTCATGATTGAGATTACTCTACTTGTATCGAAGAGTACAAGTCTCTCGTTGCTGGGACAAAATACCTGACACCCAAAATGAAGGAAGGTAAAGTTTATTAGCTCAGTCCATACTCAGGTTTCAGTCTATACTTAGCTGGCTCCAAAGCAGGGTGGCATGGCACAGGGCCAACCATTCCTGACCATTGCAAATGACAAGTGCAAAAGGGCAAAAGAGGGAAAAGCATGCCTCCTTCTCTCCCCTATATTGTATGCTGGTTACCCACCCCTGGTTGGGTGTAGCATTCATGATAAATCAATCCCAGCACTAGAGAATGAACCAATCACAAATGCTAGATTCAGCCACCTCCATGACTGCATGAAGCTTAGGGGGCCACCCAGATACAAACCATAACACACAACACTATATACACTAAGTGATGGCCCATTAAGATCGATATTTAAGGGTAATGTGATCCTTTATATTTCCCTGAAAACTAAATTAATATTGTTTAAATTTTTTATTGGACAATATAGAGTATCTTTCTCCAAAAATTGTCTTTTT